GGGCATAAAGTGGACAGCACTGGGACACCATTAGCAATGTTTCAGGACAGGCAAGCCTTAAACTTAGTGCACCAGGGGCAACAGTCACTCAGTCTTTCAGATCTGTACTCAGTGTCCTCGGGATTTAGATGTCTTCCTCTAGATTGAGGCAGTTACCTCAGTGGGGTCTCCTGACCAGATCCTCAGTGGAACCCCTCTTTCAGCTCTCAAAGAATTAGCAGAAGGACAGGCCCCCCAGCTATGCACAGCTGGGAACTAGATGAGACAGACAGGAACTTCAGCTGGACTGCTAGGAAGGGCAGCAGCCCTTCTGGCTGCGAACCTCTGCTCCTGGGGAAGAACCCTGCTCTTTGAGGCTCCAAACTATACATTCTGCCAATCACCATCTGGGCACCTTCCCCTAGGGATTGGATAGAGTTGCATGAATATTCAGGCTTTGACATTTTCATCCACTATATTCTGAAAGCCTCTAGGAGACAGGAGGAATCAAGCTTACAGCCTAAAGCAATCACATGCTGCTCTGATGATTACAGCAGATCCAAATTTGCCTAACCAAACTTAGCAGCTTATCTGGGAGGGTGCTACATCAATATGTTCCAATAGCAAAATTGGCGTATTCATGCAACATCTTTTCTCTAGGAACAATAATGAGACGGGATTCCCCAGTATGTATAATTGACAAAAAAACAAATATGACATCCAATGAGTTTGCAAAGTAATAGGATGTAGATGGAACTGCATACTACAAATATATCAGTGTGTTTGTCCAATTCACAATCTAAATATATATATATATATATGCTTTGTTTACTAGGTGTCCCGAACAAAGTATATAGAACATTGTGTAAATATCTAATGATATAAATACCAAATGTGTTTAATAACTACAGCTTTTAATAGATAGTGGAAGAAAGAATGTCCTCCTAATGTCATTGTGAATCTGGAATATGTTTGGGAGGAGTCAAAAGGGAAGTGAGAAGATGAGAAAAAAGAGAGAGCAAAAAGAAGGAAAAAGAAGAAGGCAGTGGGGGGGAAGAAAATTAGGGACAGAGAGGCAGTTATTGTGGGTCTCTCGGGCTACTACACATGGTGTATGTAATGATGCATCACACATAGTATGGCTCACAGATTTATTTTATTCATTTCAGGTACTTATATAGCACCGTCAATTTATGCAGCACTTTACATGTATATTATACATTCACATCAGTCCCTAACCCTCAAGGGGCATACAATCTAAAGTTCGTAGCTTACACATACTAGGGCCAATTTAGACAAGATCAAATTCACCTACCAGCATGTCTTTTGAGTGTGGGAGGAAACTGGAGTACCCGGAGGAAACCCACACAGGCACAGGGAGAACATGCAAACTCCAGGCAGGAGGTGCTGTGGCTGGGATTAGAACCAACAACCCTAGTACTGCCAGGCGGAAGTGCTAACCATTTAGCCACTGTGCTGCTTAGAGGAAAAATTAGTGGAATAGCTAAAGTGAGACCAGATTGGCCATATAACGTTATAAGATGTGATATACATATGCAGCGCTGAAAACCAAATATACATTGAATATGAACAGACTAGTCTTGCGCTGTGGAGCGCTAAAACTATATTAAAGTACGATGAACGTCTACGGACGTTAACTGTGCAGGTAGTGACCTTAATAATAACTATACATAAAATGGCATATAAGCACCAATCTCTATATGAGGTAAAAATCGTGACTCCAGTGATGTAGAAATTAGTGTGCATTGCACTAACCAGACAGCGCATTGCGTAATTTGACAACTCCTGGTCCTCTGGATATGGAAAGATGAAAATCAAAGGATCATCTGGCCAACCAACCTAGGGAGGAGCCATTGTGGTGACGTCATGTCACACAGGCCACGTGTTAGTCCAGTGGCCATCTGAACAACTGTCACGCCAATGTGAGTGCTTTTTTACCAGGATATATCTTTGCTTGGAATTTCATTAATAAAACATACTATACTATTAGCATTTTCTGTGTGGGCTCAGTTTATTGCGAGCCCCCCCCCCCCCCTTAAGGTGGATTCTTGTCCTGCTCCGCATCTATTATTGAGAGTGATGCCTGGTGGTTGTACATGATACCTGTTACCTGGAGAGTGATCCCCCTGCTGGATGGATGAGTGTTCCTGATCCCTGGAGAATGATGACCATTTGATTACCTGTCTTTCGGTTGGTTGGCCAGATGATCGCAATATAGTTTTAGCGCTCCACAGCGCAAGACTAGTCTGTTCATATTCAATGTATATTTAGTTTTCAGCGCTGCATATGTATATCAGATTTTATGAAGGTTAAGAGGTTTTGCCTTTATGTCAGCTGCTTTTTCCCTGCACTACTTAGTGCTCGTATACCTATTGATATTATATAACTTTATAAGTTTCAGACTTGCTGGCTACCCACAAGACTATCTGCTCCATATGGCATCTAACTCACAGGTCCACTCCGCCAATGAAGGGGTGTTCAGTTTACACCGGTGCCTGACAATGAAAGTATGTACTGCGGTGAGGAGTTGAAGCAGAAGACCCTTTTAGATTTATGTATACGACCCCAAGATAAATCGAGAGAACGGTGAGTTGGGGGGGGGGCGTATTCACAACCTTATCGATTATCAGTTTATGGTAGAGCCCATATGTTTTGTCCCACAAAGGACAAATGTATGTGATTGTACCGGTGGCAGACAAGCATTTCTAGCAGATATCTAGAGAGGTCTATGGTGTGTAGTAGTGTAAGGCATCTACACTCACTGGCCACTTTATTAGGTACATCTGTTAAATTGCTTGGTAACACAAACTGCTAATCAGCCAATCACATGGCAGCAACTCAATGCATTTAGGCATGTAGACGACTTGCTGAAGTTCAAGCCGAGCATCAGAATGGGGAAGAAAAGGGATATAAGTGACTTTTGAATGTGACATGGTTGTTGGTGCCAGGCGGGCTGGTCTGAGTATTTCAAAAACTGCTGATCTACTGGGATTTTCACGCACAACCATCTCTAGGGTTTACAGAGAATGGTCCGAAAAAGAGAAAAAATCCAGTGAGCGGCAGTTGTGTGGATGTAAATTCCTTGTTGATGTCAGAGGTCAGATGAGAATGGACAGACCGGTTTGAGATGATAGAAAGGCAACAGTAACTCATGTAATATATGGACCAAAATGTCTGAGGAATGTTTCCAACACCTTTCTGAATCTATGCCATGAAGAATTAAGGCAGTTCTGAAGCTAAAAGAGGGTCCAACCCGGTACTAGCAAGGTATACCTAATAAAATGGCCCCTGAGTGTATACCAACAAGAAAGAGGTTTATAGTTGCAGTCTTAGGCTCTGGTCAATAAGGAGGCCTTAACAAGGTTAAAATCTTTTCCCAGTCCATGTCCCCATGAGGCGTCACCAGTTCCTCTTCCCATTTCAGATGAAGTGTAATGGCTGAGGACAGGGGCGGACTGACCATTTGGGAACCTGGGCACTGCCCGAGGGCCTGGGGTCAGAAGGGGGCCCCATGAGATGCCCCTGGTACCTTTCATAGGCTTTTTTTGGTGTGGTTTGAGTGTGGGCAAGGACACAGGGACCCCATGATCCCCTATTGCCCGGGGGCCCCATGAGTTATCAGTCCGCCCCTGGCTGAGGATAAGATTGCTTTAACAACAATTCATATATCACAGAGAGTGGGTGTTCTGGTCTAGTGGTTTGGAGAAGTAAGGACTCCATGTGGGGACTATCAATGGACTCCACTGCGGGGATGGAATTGAGGAAGTGTTGGAATACAATTCTGGCTATTATTATTAATAATATAATTTGTTTTATTAGGATTACAAACCATAATTTTGTTGTACAGCATATCCATGAGTGTCAAATATGCTATATACACCACATTCCGTATTATTTTGTTTATTCTTATATCACCATTTACTATTTACATTTCTTTACCATAAGATGTAGTTTTGGTAATGATTAGCAGGGGTTCCCTGAGACCTCAATACTGTAAGTTATTTTAGGTACTAACCTGTTTTTAAAAGGTTGATAAAGGCGGCTGCTGCATATTTCTACAATGTAATCTTGTTTTTAACACTTAACTTTACATTTAACAACATCAAACTTCATTTGTCGTATGATTGACCAATCAAACTGTGCACCTAAGCCAGAGCCATTTGGAAATCCGAAATCTTAGAGTGCTTATATTACTTTAAAAAATCTCCTGTCACCTTGGGAGTTTGAGGTGTTTCTGACCACCTTTTGTTTTCCTCTCTATAATATAAAGAAAATAAAAATCCAGCAGACATGATGGAAGCCCCTCATAATGGATGTAGCAGGTGCACAAATAAAGGAACTCAGCTCAGAGATCTCAACAATAAAGTCCTCAAGAGATAAAATAAATTGTCAAATGGTTTAACTTACCAATATCTACCAAAATTGGAAATATGTTAAGGGTAAGTCCACACAAAATAAATATCAATACATTGTTGAACTATTGAAGAAAGCCCACAATGGTACATACAATTTTCTGATAGGATTTAAGGCAGTGATAGGCACCATGCCAGAATGCCTCTACAAGGAGAACACAACAGCCACTGATACGATGAAGACAGTTGTAATTGTGTAATTGATGAAGTCTGTTTTTGCAGATTATCTTACCACCTTGCATCATTTATTGCACTTTTTTTCAATCACATTATATAATTTTGAACATATGAAACTACAACTTCCTAAAACTGATGTATATAAAGGAGCATAGAGGTGTCCAAGAGATGAAGAAGTATTTGGATGCAGATAGAGCCCATCAGCCCATCATCAACAAAAAGGTAAACTCAGTTTCTAGAGAATAAACCCTAAGAAGAGTAGAAAATGTAAGGCAATGCCCATAGTGACCCATTAGACTTTTCTTATTAAAAACTGGTCTCTGGGGTCAACCAAACATTTCCATATTTTCTTCTGTGAAAAGTATATTACATACTTTGACGTAACCAAACTTTTTTTTTTCCTGTATAGACATGTATCATCTACTGCTGCTCCTTTTGTTGGGAACCATCTATGCCCAGAAATCAGGTGAGCTGACAATCGAATATATCAGTATTAGAAGTTAGTTGGCAAAAAAGGAAATTTTCAGTGAAGACGTTTTTAAACTTTTATTGCTTAATAACTGTTTAATGCTGGTTGAATTATTTTTTATTTTTATAAAAATGGGAGAGGATTAGAACCCCTCAGCTTGAGAAATGTGAATGTTTGATATTTAGTGCAATGAGGTGCACGCTCAACCCATTGAATGGGCTGCCTTAAAATTGAAGTTTATATATATAACCTTTGCTAAAAAAATAATCAGAAATAGATTGCTAACAAGGTTTTTTTTTTAGCCTTCCTCTATTCTACTAAAAAAGATGTATTTTTATTTTTGTTCCAAATACACCTTTGTATATGGAAATGAACTGTGTTATTGTAGGTGCATTAACACAATGAATAGTGCTTAGGAGACCCTAATGACACACAGTGTAGCACTACTCTCTTAGGAGTCGCTGAGTTTTGAGTTCCCCTATAGTTCTGCACAGCCAGGCAACACACATTTTCTTCTACACTTGCACTCTGGATACAGTAAAAAGTAATTGAGCTTGTTTTTGTGATTTTATTAGGGGTATTGAACTTGAATGAGGTTGAGGGGTGTATGGGTTAACGAAGGAACTGTGAACATGAGGACAAATTTCCTTAGCAACTAAAGTCCATAGACAAGCAGTCTCTCCTTGGCGAGCTATCCAGCTCTTCTGGTGTACCTCCTCAGAGCCCAGATAAATCCTCCTCTTCACCCAGCTGACTGAGGGAATCCCTGGGTAAGGGGACCTATAAACTGCCACGTAATAATTAACAGTCCTGTGTGAGGAGCTAGTTGGGTTTGCCACCTGACTGCCTTCTCCCCTTATCCGGCCAAGGGGGTGTGCAGGATTACTCACTTAGTCCTCTTCTGTATGCTTGTGGGTTGGTGGCTGCCTGAAGGCCTTATACTGGGCTGGCTCCTTCCCGGCTTCCAAGGCTGTCCTCTCCCAGAGGACAGTTGAGGCTGAGAGATCCTCCTTCCCATCTCAGGTAGGCCCCCTCCCAGGCTTCACACTCAAGCCTTCATACTTCACTTTCATATTTTATGATTTTTTTTTCCTATATTGTTCCAAACACTATTCTCTTTTCATGTATTTTTTTTCCTCTGATTCTTTAAGGGGCGGTTCACATTGATGTGCAGTGATTTCTGTGCATTTCCCACACTGCATCACAATCGCATTCGAACCGCTGCCAATTGAGAATGTCAATGTTACGTTAATGTTACCCCAAAAAAACTGTTCGCAAAAGCAACAGCAATTGGATGAATCAGATTGCATGGGTGTTCACACCCATGCGCTCCAATTCCAGTGTGGAAAAAAAAGGGTCTTGCACCTCTCCTGTGGGTGCTCTGGCTGATTTGAGCCATACAAAATGAATGGCTCAAATTGCACTGCAAAAGAATCGCATGTGATCTGAACAGAAATGCAGTGTGATTCCTGTCCAAATCACATGCGGTTTCCCGAACCGCATCAGTGTGAACCGGGCCCTAAAATGGATCCCACTCAAAGGAAACAAATGTGATATCAGCAGGAGCGTATTTACCACAAGGAAAATAAGGTATTTGCCTAGGGCAGCATTTTTTAGGGGTGCAGCACTGCCGCCTGGAAAAAGGGATGTATGTGGCATGGTGTGATCCAAGAGAGGCTGCGGGCTGCTTGATGGTGTACACAGACCCCGACTGTCATCCCTGGGGATGTCCAGAGCTGTGAAGGTCTCTCTCTTTTTCGCTGGGGGGGGTTGAGTGTTAATGGAAGGCTCTCTCGGGTAGGGGGGATAGGGCAGGGGTGTTGTTGGTCGGTGTCAGTCTCTCTCCACCGTGGAGGGGGGAGGGCATCCAATTTTTTTGTGTTGCCTAAGGTAGCACAAAACCTAAATACACCACTGGACATCAGGAATTTAGGGGGCTGTAGGGAGCACAAGTAAAGGGACTGTAATGGCAGAGATCTCTAACAGTGTCCAGTAACATGTCCTCAATTTTGGTCTCCTGCACCATGTCTTATATCCCAAACCACATCAGTAGCATGTTTGCAGGTCTTACCCCTGGTTCACATATATGCGGCCGTGTGGGCCGCGTTTTGCATGTGCATGAGAGCCCATTCATTTTAATGGACTCCCGTGCCCCGGGACACACAAGGAAGAAGTCCCTGCACTTCTTCTGAAAACACAGCCTGCACAGGAACCTCAGCTCCCAGTATGGTTGCGGTTTCCAGTGCGGAACTAATGGCACCCACCTGCAGGTCCGCATTCCTCTGTGCGGGTGGTGCGGCTGCACAGATTTTTGTGCGGCTCCGCAGTGGCACCACCCGCACAGATGTGAACCTAACCTTAAAGTTTATCCGAACATGTTTGCTGTCTCTGACCATCTCCTGTAGCAATACATTAACCATTTCCTTCAGTATGCTGGCAGTTTCTCACAGTTTGTAAGATTATAAACAAGGACTATAATGTGTGGCTCTCTCTTGATGTCAATGGCTGCACCAGGGGCCCTATATATCTAGTAACTTTACTAGCACTATATAGTAGTATGTCATGCTTTTAAGCACTTAACCTCCGGAAGATTTACCCCCCTTCATGACCAGGCTATTTTTTGCGATACGGCGATGCGTTATTTTACCTGACAAATACAAGGCCATGCAATGCTGTACATAAATGGAATTTATGTAATTTTTTCCCCCATAAATAGAGATTTTTTTGGTGGTATTTTATCACCTCTGGGTTTTTTTACTTTTTGCGCTATAAACACAAAAAAAAATTTTGAAAAAAAACTATTTTCTACTTTCTGCTATAAAACATATCCAATAAGAAAAAAAATTTAAAATCAAATTGCTTCATAAATTTAGGCCAATATGTATGATTGGTTTGCACAAAAGTTATAGCATCTACAAACTATGGTGTATATATACTGGGATTTAAAAAAAATATGTTTTTATACTATTAATGGCGGCGATCAGGGACTGCAATATTGCTGCGGACAATCCGACACAAAACTGATGTTGGGAACCAGTGACACTAATACAGTGATCAGTGCTAAAAATATGTACTGTCACTGTACTCAGGGCTGCTGTTAGAAACCATGGGACCCCACACAGCCAACCTGATAGCCACCCCCCCCCTCCCCGCCAAAGAAAAAAAACAGTTTACTATGCTTCAGTTATTAATGAGCATAGTTTATGATCGGTACTGATCACTCATTGCATTCATTCACAAAAGAAAGGGACTGGTAAATGTGACATATTTACCGGCCCCTTCCCCCAGTCTACATCCTGAAGGATCCTATTGTGTGCTTGCAACTGCCGGTGGGGAGGAGAGGAGGGAAGCCGGCAGCACTGTGGGGATGGGGGCACACAAGGAGGCCTGGGCAATAGGGGAAAATGTATGGTGCATAGGGAGGGAGATGGATGCGGCAGGGGGAGGGGGGCAAATACTGGAACTGCTCCCTTGTATGGCCCTCTCTGAAGTGGCTGAAAGCTAGAAGGAGGGAGAGGAGAAAAAGCCATTTTTCAACTGCTGTAGAGAGGGCCATACAGGGGATTGGTTCCAGTAATTTCCGCCCCCCCCACACACACCAATGTACAGATTGCCCTCACTGCCCACATCTGAGTCACCCAGCTGCCTGGGCCCCCCTACTGGCCTGGGCCCTGTATGGGAAGACTGGTGGTACCCCCCCTAATCCATGGCCCTGACTGTACTAAAGAAACAGACTGGGAAGGAGTTAAACATCTAGGGTGATCAAGGGGTTAACAATGTGTCTAGCTAATAGTTATGTGTACTGTGTGTGCTGCTTTTACTAGGTAATGTGTTGGATTCTATTCCCTGCTCTGCATGGAAAGAACATCCAGCACATTGCTGCTGACAGGACACAGCTCTGCCGTGTTTCCATGGACAGAGCTGTGTTCTGTCAGTCTCCTAGACCAATGTTTCTCAACCTTTTTTCAGTCAAGGCACCCAACCTTTAAAATTATGTACAGTCCCGAGGCACCCTTTAAAATTATGGACAGTCTTGAGGCACCCCATTCTAAAATGTGAAAAATTATTCTAATAGTTTGATATAATGCAGCAATATCCACACATGTAAGACACCCAACAGTAGAGTTGATTTATTCTTCCATAAAAATACACTTTTTCACACTGGTGCTGACTAGTATTCCAATGTTTCTCTTCTCCCTTGGTTTTACTCCATCACTCAGCTAATGTGACCCCAGCACTGATGGAGAGGGGCAGGGGAGGGTCAAACCAGGATGCTCTGCAGACAGCTGACATCCTCCTTATCAACTGATGATGTCTTTAGTTGTCAGGATGCCGGCGGCTAGAAGGCAGTAATGGTGCACAATGAAAACCTGTGGGTTTCTGTATCTAAAAGGCAGGCCTGTTCCACCAGCTGACTTGTATACAAGTTTTGGGTAATGTTTAGACATTTTTCCAAGGCACCCCTGAAGAAACCGCAATGCACCCTGGTTGAGAAAGGCTGCCCTAGATGATCGACGATCCAATGGATGAGCGCCAGCACCCGCTGTACGGCTTCTGCTGTGACAAATTACAGAAGAATCGGCACACTGGCGGTGCATGTGCGAGCCCATGACCAGGAAATGCAGAATCATGTTCATATATGTGGTTTACACACAGTTCGGCAGCCCTGTAGCAGTATATTTGCTATGGGGTAGTCGGCAACTGGTTAGCATCATATTTTAGTAAATGTATTTCATCTTTAAAAAGTACACACTTAAAATGTATTTGTATAAATGGGAGATTAACTCGGGTTGTAGCTCGGGTTGTAGCTCTGGTCTTACTTGTAAACCATTTTAACATTTTAAATGTATTTTTTTTTAAAAGATGATCGCTCTCAAGATGACTCGATGCCTCAAGATGAAATAGATGATCCAAATGGCCAACAGAATTACTGTGACATGCCTGATACCCTGGAGACATTCGATTTTAATGACTGCCAGTTGGGGAAATCCCACAATGTCTCTGTAGAAGTAAATAAAAAGTTTGGTGACGTTTGTCCAGACAAAAGTACCTGTCATTATCAAGCTTTCAACAGCCCCACATCCTTTGCGTGGGCTCAGGTTAGTGAAAATCTTAACAAAGATAATTTTTCCCTTCAATTTTTATTAAACACAGAACAATATGTAATAGATAGGTGGGAACAATATGAAAAACTCTTATTAATAGCTCGTATCCAGTGAATATCAGAACAAACGTACACAAAGTCCATAAATCCAAAAAGTCTGTAGCTATATAACAGCTTAGGTGGCAGCCATCCCAGAGTAAGCCAACTTTATGAGCATAATGTAGAGAGAAAAAAGAAAAGAGGAGCCTTCTAAGTGCAGTATTTAGTAGTTTTAATAAGCCACAAATAATAAAAACTCACAATGATGAAGTAGCCAAAAAGCTCATCAGTAAGGTAATGTCTGAAGCCATCATCCGTGTCCTGCAGGGATCCATCTGATTGGGTGAGTGGCCGCTGTGGATGGTGAAGGAGGTCTCAGGTGCTGTAGATGGTAAGGAGTCTCGGAGCACCGCCGCCAAAACCGGGACCTGAAGTGTCTATATTCGAAATGTATTTTTAAAAATATTTTTTCATATATTTTGTAATAAAAACGCATTTCAACATGCAGTATATATATTGTATACGGCCAAAATTGTAGTATTTCAAATATATGTCAATATATTTGGGAAGAATGTTTTTAAAATATATTTCAAATATATTTTTTTTTTTCATATGGGTTAACTAGGAGCATGCTACATCATATAGGAGTGTGCTGCAAACAAAAACAGCTTAACCCCCTGGCGCCGGCACCTCCCGGCCCTTTAAGAGTTTCAGAAGCCGGGAGGCGGAGCAGGGTTTTAGGGTTCATGTGACCACCGTGATTCGCTGTCACGGTGGTCACATGATCGGGAAAGAGGAGATAGGGACCTTTCCGTGAGTACCGGACATGTGTGCTTGGAGCCCTCTCAGCACATATGTTTTTCTTAATTGCACACAAATGTGCAGCCGCTCGGCGTCAAGGCCCACATGCCGGGAGGCCGCACATTTGCGTGTGGCTGGCGCCAAGAGGTTACAGAATTGGGGTTGATTTACTAAAGGCAAATAGGCTGTGTTGACAATATGTTGCTACTTAACCCTAGACATCATGCTGAGTTCACCTGTTAAGAAGGGATTCCAAAAATGTATTAGCCACTCCTTAGAGGTTTGTGAACACTTGACCATCACACCTACATGGACCCATTCCAAAACCATGGACATTTATATACTGTACAATAGTCCCCCTCTTTGCAGCTACAACAACCTTCACTTTTTGGGGTAGACTTCCCTCAGCATTTTGGGGTGTGTCTGTGGGAACTTATGCCCATTCAGGAAAAGAATATTGTGATGTCAATATTGATGTTGGAGGAGAAGATCTGGCTCTCCATTAGCAGTTTAATTCTTCATGGAACCATTTCATAGGGTTGATTTTAAGGTACTGTGGAATAGACTCCCTCAAGAGTTGGTTCTGGTCAGCTCAGTGGTTTGCTTAAAAAAAAGTCCTGGATTCTTTCTGGACACACATAATATAACTGGATACTAACATTTATAGGTAAAGTTGATCCAGGGAATATCCGATTGCCTCTCGGGGGATCAGGCAGGAATTTTTTTCCCTGCAGGAGCAAATTGGATCATGCTTTGCTGTGTTTTTTTTTTTGCCTTCCTCTGGGTATAGGATTATAACTTTTTTTTTAATGGTTGAACAGGATGGTCTTTTTGTCTTTTTTCAGCCAGACTAACTATGTAACTATGTACTGTGCAGCGCCCTCAAGTTTCTCTACACCAACCTGGCCATATCATCGTGTCTTTATGGAGCTGGCTTTGTGCACAGGTGCACTGTAATGTTGAAATTGTTGCTACAAAGTTGAAAACACACAATTGCCTAAAATATATTTGTACTTCCGCCTTGCAGTACTAGGGTCGTTGGTTCGAATTCTAGCCATGGCACCACCTGCCTGGAGTTTGCATGTTCTCCCTGTGCCTGCGTGGGTTTCCTCCAGGTACTCTGGTTTCCTTCCACACTCCAAAGACATGCTGGTAGGTTAATTGAATCCTGTCTAAATTGGCCCTAGTATGTGTATGTATGAATGTAAGTTAGGTGCCTTAGATTGTACACCTCTTAAGGGTTAGGGACTGATGTGAATGTATAATATATATGTAAAAGCACTGCGTAAATTGATGCTGCTATATAAGTACCTGAAAAAAATAAAATGCTGTAGTATTACTAGTACCCTTCACTGGAAACACTTGATCTTAAAGTGATATTAAAGGTTAAAAAAAAAAAAAATATCATACTTACTTTGCAAAGTCATTGCACAGAGCAGCCCCAATTCTCTTTTTCTCAGGTCCTCCTGCTGGGGCTCCTGGCTCCTCCCCTCTAACCAGTGCCCCCAATAGCAAGTCACTTGCTAAGGGGGCACTGGTGCATACTCGCTCCAGAGCCCCACTTTATGCATCCTTAAGACACATAGAACCTCAGCTTGGCCCCACCCCACTCTCTCCTCATTGGCTCACTGGCTGTGATTGAGAATGGCTCCCCCTGCTGTGTCTCAGCTAATGAGGAGAGAGAGAGACCCAGGACAGCTGAAGCTCCTGTGCACATCGCTGGATTAAGAGGTTGCACAAGTGAGTGATGGGGGTCTGTGGGGAACGTTGCACACAGAAGGTTTTTTATCTTTATGCATAGAATGCATGAACATAAAACCCTTTAGACTTTACAAGCTCTTTAATTATTTAAAGGGGTGTTTTCATACTTTTGGCCATATATTGGGTGTGATAGTCAGGTATCCTCAAACTTTTGGTCATATAGAGTATAATTGCTTGTTAACAATTTTATTTTTTTTTTATTTTTTGGCAGGAGTGCCTCGATAATGCTGTTTGCAGGAAATGCTATATATTCATTATCCTTTTCCACTTCTTCCATAGCATTCCTGCAAGTGCCGCAGAGGGTGTCTGAGTTCAGTTTATAATGCAGGAGCCAATAACCAGATTAGATGTCTTGCTAAGAGAGCATGTTCCAACCAGTATTATGTATGGATCGGTGTGTGGAAACCCGCCAATGTAAGTGACAGAGATGGAATGACATTTCCTTTAGTATATAGTATGATCATATAATCTATGTTATGGAGAAGAGGTACAAAAGGAGTCAAAGGGCTTTCTAATTAAAACACTTGAAAAGATGAACATTATCTTCTTAAATTTAAAATCCCAAACATACAAGGAATGAATTCAGCACTCAAAGGCAACCTACAGGCAGAACTCAACTTTTAATGATTAATATGTTTTTAAAAAATAGTTACTAAGCCTTGTGTGCATATAGTATTTTTTGCAGAGAATAATCTTCATCAGGTTCCTGCCTCCTGTATCTTAAAATACCTTCTTGTGACCTAAGGGTTCCCTAGTGAAGAGCTTTCATCAAATTATCTGAACATATTCAGCATTACACCCTTAATACAACCACATGGTTATTAAATTCTAAATATTGAAGTTTTTATTTCATTTTTGCAGTTATTGGCTTCTTCAAGGTCAGTTTAAAGATGGATATTGAGGACTCAGTATGGTTGTAGCAGATCCTTTACATCATTTTACTTTTGACATGATATGGTTTATCACTAGGTCTTAAATGATCTCTTCATTGCCCTAAATACTTGTAGATTTGGCTGATCACACATTTTACAAATGTACACAAGAAAGATGTTTGTTTGTTTTTTTTTATTTTCAGCAGACTGGACAATTCTACACTCACTGGTCACTTTACTAGGTACACCTTGCTAGTACCGGGTTGGATCCTCTTCTGCCTTAATTCTTCATGTCATAGATTTAACAGAGTGTTAGAAACATTCCTTAGAGATTTTGGTCCATTTTAACATGAGTTACTGTTGCCTTTCCATCATCTCAAACCATTCTGCCCATTCTTCTCTGACCTCTGACAGAAACAAAGCATTTTCATCCACATAACTGATGCTGATTGGATATTTTCTCTTATTTGGACCATTCTCTGTAAACCCTAGAGATGGTTGTGCATGAAAATCTCAGTAGATCAGCAGTTTTTGAAATACTCAGACCAGCCCGTCTGGCACCAACAACCATGCCATGTTCAAACTCACTTAAATCCCCTTTCTTCCCCATTCTGATGCTCGGTTTGAACTTCAGCAAGTCATCTTCACTATGTCTTCAGGCCTAAATGCTTTGAGTTGCTGCCATGTGATTGGCTGTTTAGCAATTTGTGTTACCAAACAATTGAACAGCTGTACCTAATAAAGTGGCGGGTGAGCGTAAATTTTCAGGAGAAATACAACTAAATTTTGAATAAAGGATTAACTGAAGGTTTCAAACTAATTTGTTCAACACTTGGCATCAGATCCAAAACCAGGACAAGGGGTAAGTGGGTGGGAACGCCAACTGCCTTGGGCGCAATGGTTTACTGTAGGAATGAGGGTGCCTTCCTTTTGTTACAATGGAATCACTACTCCTGTCAGCCCAGAGCTGGGAGCAGCAAGGAGAGGAAGAGAGAGCAGGGAGGTGGTGCGGGCTGTGTTCTTGTTCCCCCTCCTCCTTCCTGTCAGTGCAGTGTTCCTGTATTAACAAGCAGGCAGCGGTGTTCACAGGTGTATGCACTAGCAGTAAGGATGAGTGGGAGAGAGCACACAGCCTGCATACACAGCGCAGAAGTGTCCAGGAGAGAGCCACGAGTGGAGGAGAGATCCATCAACACAAGCATGTGCCCAATGTTAAAACTGAGCTACACAGTGATTTTGACAAGTGAGTGACTGCTAGGCATGGGGTCCACTAAGCTTGCACATCATGAATATGCAGGTTGACATCTTTGCCCTGGGCGCTGGATGACCTTATCCCAGCACTGATCCGATCATAGTGTCAGCCCTAGCTATCAATTTAGTGACATTGAGCAGATTTTGGCTGAGGATTGGGATCCTGATGGCAAACACAGCCAAGTGGTTCTTTTTTAGTAGGGACAGATTTCTGAGAAATCTTTTCACATCTTCGATCATCACTGCTTCTTTTGTGACTCTCAACATTTAGTCACATGATATTTCACAGCCACAAAGGAAGGTTGTGCTGGAAGACTTCCCTCCTCTGGATGCTGTGATCACAGAATTAAACTGTATATAATGCCCAGTATGTACCACTGATTGCGGTTCCCAATTTTCTTCAATGTTTGAATAGTGAAGCATCTCTACTAAGGGCCACAAACCCAACAGATCTGTTAGTACTGACCCAGAGGACACATATGTCCCTGCCTCCTATTCCAGTTGGCCCCTGGTGGGCTTGGTGGGACCGTAAAGTTAAAAACACAGGAGGATATCTAATGCAATCTTGGTATACAGATGAATGTTGCAGTGTAGTCCAAAGCAGAGTGGGGTGATGAATGAACAACGTAGCTACAGGATATCCCAGTGGCCATGGTTCTGCATTGATGCTCATCGGCTGCAATTTTGTGGCTGGGTGCTATACATTATCAAGGAAAAGATAGTACCAATGTGCCTGGCATGAATGCATGGCTGGCACAACATTACTGAATACTGTAGATTTTAATATTTATCTAGAACTTTTCTATAGAACACATATATGGTATTACTGTTATGGCTTGCAGATGCTGACTTTCCTAAGTCTGTATTTACATAGCAACTTCAAAAGGCTTTGAGGGAACTACCAGAAAAACAAATGTAAACAGAAGGGTATGATCCACATATTTTACTGTATTATTGAGCTCCATACCTTGGGCACTAGAGTTCACTTAAGTGCAGGGCTGTGGAGGGGGTAAGACACTGTCCGCATGCTGAGAGGCTGAACTTCCTGCAGCTTATGAATCTGTGCAAATCCCAACAATATTGTTAAGATCCCCACAGAGCCTTGACTGGCTCTTTGACATCAGCTGATAGCAGGCTTTAGCCTGCCGTCAACTGAATCTGGGTCACAGAACTAAATGCACTTTAGAGCTTTGGCCATACTTCTCCTTTGAAGCAATGGGTTTCGTTGTGCTTTAGGATTCTCTGCCTCATAATTCTGTTTATCTATTTCTGCATATAGATATTTCCCCTCACCTTGTCCATTTTTCTTCAATTACTGGCAACTTTTCAAACTTTTTGTAAATTAGGAATCTTTTTTTTTTTTTTTTCTTCAGTGTCTAAAGAAAAAAATACTTTCTTGTCTTGATCTGTTGTGTGTGTATAGCGATCACTTAAGCTGGCCGTACACTAGTAGAATTTTTTGTTCTAAGAACATGTTCAGTTTTCTACTTATTGAAGGCAGCTACGATGCTCCATGTTAGGAAATGTAGGAGGATCTTTTGAGATGACTGGACTGTTATTCTGGATTGATTCTGGAACCAGAGGGGTATTTATAAGAAATATAGCTAACAGTGGTATTACCTTTAAGAATAATGTCTATCTTCTCACTAACAAATATACTGTAAATATCTATTTTTCTTTAACAGTCTTGTGCCTATATAAATGCTAGTGGAACCAGACTGTGCTACACTAACTTTGCTTGGGGACAGTATCGAACTCATGGAACATGGTGCGTGGCCATGAATTTGTCAAGTAAGTAAGAAAAAAAACATTAAAAGTATATAATAAAACAGCAAAATATTGAACTTCTTTATTCTTCTATAGCTTCTTGATTGGGACAGTCTACCCAAAAAGGCCTTTCATGTATCTTACATTATACTGTAGAACCTATCTGGTGCAGTCCCTGTTTTTCTGCAAAATTCTATTTTTATATTATTGATAATGTGTTCATTGCAAATTCCTATCATAATGGAGTGTGTTGGAAGACCTGGATTTACTGCTGGAATCAGAGAGCGAGTGGAGTTCAGGAATACTTGATGTAAATTTAACCACTTCAAGTCCGGACACTTTCACCCCCTTCCTGTCCAGGCCAATTTTCAGCTTTCAGTGCTATCACACAATTGCACGGTCATGCAACACTGTACCCATATGAATTTTTTAGCATTTTTTTGAGACAGATAAAACTTTATTTTGGTGGCATTTATTCATCACTGGGATTTTTATTTTTTTTGCTATATAAATGGAAAATCCAAACATTTTGAAAAAAAGTGTTTCTATAAAATTTTGCAAATAAATTATCTTTCTTCATAAATCTTGGCCAAAATGTATTCAGCTTTTTAGTAAAAAAAAAAAAATAACCCAAATTAGTAATTTATAAACGGCCACCCACTCCTGCACTGCTCCCCTCCAGCCCATGTACATAAACGGCCGGACGGGAGCAGTGCAGGAGCAGGTGGCCGTTTATAAACATCCTCATACATTCCCTGCCTGTGTGCGCTCCCTGAGAGCGCACGGCACCGCGATCCGGTGACCTCTGTGTGAGGTCCCGATCATGTGATCACTGATTGGCCAATCAGTGATCACATGAATAGTAGTAAGCAAGATGTCACTTCTGACATCATTGCTTACTAATAGTGAAATCTGTGAATGATCACACAGGTCACATGGTACAAGGCTATTCACAACAGCCTTGCACCATGTGACAAGCTGTGACCAATCACTGCTCACTGTATGTGACCTCTGTGATCCCAGGGAGCGCGCACAGGCAGGGAATGCGAGAGGATGTTTATAAATGGCCATCCGCTCCTGCACTGCTCCCGTCTGTCCGTTTATGTACATGGGCCGGACGTGAAGTGGTTAAAGTACAGTGAAAGACTTCAATATGACAGTCTAAACCAGTACCAAATCAAGTTATTATGTGATGCACAAACCTTCTAAAATAAACAGAAAACATCCTTTTCCCTCTCCTGATTGAGCCAAATCCTCCATCTGTACCTCCTATGCTCCCTTTGCCAGACACAGCCTACGTGAGAGTGATAACTCAGCTCTGAACTCAGGAGCATTGCAGCATTGTTACCAAGCATCATAGGAAAATTTATTAGGTGGACTTCACTGTAAGGATCAACAGGAATCTGTAGGGGGACTAAGACACTTGTAAGCACAGATGCACTCATATATACTGTATGTGTGCTGTAGCACTTTTTTAATGAAAGGCCATTCTAATTTAAAATTTCAAATGTTTGAGGCATCCCCATGCACCAGACACTGTATAATGTCAAATAAAATGGCTCGGACAGCAGGAGGTGAGACAGTGACTTACTGGGTTTTGCAGGAAACGTGGTCACTGAGGCTTACGTATATGGCACTGAAGTCATTATAATTCCTTGAAAATATTTGGTCTTGAATTCATTAAAGTTCAACTGTCTACAAAAATTTATTTTTTAGTTTCAGATAGTAGGGAAAGGGTTTATTTTAAGAATAACTGTTCACATACCATATATATTTTGATTAACACCTCTGTCCCGTTTTGTCTTTCAGATGGTCGCTGTGGTATACTTTCAACTGTTGCACTTCACTGGCCTTTGTCTGTACCATCTAAGAGTGTACGATCTACTAAAGCTTCTGACCTCCATCTCGATGGTTCCTGACGCTAAATCTCTAGATTGTCTGCTTTCAGCTACATCTCCCACCGCTTTATATACTATATGCTGATTTTTAAATAAATCATGAATGCATTCAGAATTGGTTTATGTGGTGTTCTTTTTAAATGTATGGCTTTCAACAAAAGTCATGGTTTTACTAGATTATCATAAACAATTTAGGCTTGATAGCACATACTGTCGGCCTGGCTTTGACCCTCAGCAGGCCAGATTAGCATAAGGGCTATTGGAGCTGCAGCTGGTGGCAGGCCCAGTGGCCTTAAGAAAGGCCCAGCCCAATGAGCATTAATACTTCTCAGCCCTGCACAGGACCATGATTGATATGTAAATTGTGGATGGCAGGAGGCATTGATATGTAAATCATGGGCACATTCATAGGTATATCAAACTCCTATGAGCCCCAGTCCACCATCACCTCTGCTAAATCCTGCTGGCATTGAGGATGTGAACATGCCCTGCTTGCCACTGAGCCTGCCACCAGCCTGTGCTGCTAAGGTGAGCAGATGTGGGTGGAGATGTCCAGAGGTAACAGAGAAGGGATTTCATTTTGGAATGCAAATATGAGCAAAGAGGAGGTTTGCAGGGGAATCAATGATAAGAGGCATGTGGAGTAAACTCCTCTCCTGCTTATACTACCCATCGCCACACATTCCATACTCCTCTTCTTTGCATACTACACACCACCATACATTCTGCACTCCTCTACTGCACATACTACCCGCCTCCATATACTCTGTACTCCTCTCCTTCACATACTACCCACTGCCATACACTCTGCACTCCTCTCCTGCATATACTACCCACTGCCATACACTCCGAACTCCTCTCCTGCATATACTACCCACCGCTATACACTCTGCACTCCTCTCCTGAACATACTACCAACCGCCGTACGCTCCTCTCCTGTACATACTACCAACCGACATACACTCCACACTCCTCTACTGCACATATTACCAACCACCATACACTCTGCACTCCTCTCCTCTACATACTACCCACCGTCATACAGTCCGTACTCCTCTCCTGCACATACTACCCACCACTGTACACTACACACCCCTCTCCTGTACATACTACCCACCTCCATAAACTCCACACTCCTATCCTGTACATACCACCCACCGCCATATATTCTGCACTCCTCTACTGTGCAAACTACTAACTGCCATATACTCCACACTACTCTACTGTGCAAACTACTCACCGTCATATACTTCACACTCCTTTCCTGCACATACTACTCACAGCCATACACTCCGCACTCCTCTCCTGCATAAACTACCATCTGCCATGCACCTCGCACTCCTCTCCTGTGCAAACTACATTTCTACTACACTTCACACTCCTCTTGTTTACATACTAACCACAATCATATACTATATAGTATGTATTCCTCTCCTGTACATACTAACCGCCACCATACCCTCCACACTTCATTCCTGTATATACTGGCCAGTACTGCACCCTGATCACTCATCTATGCATGCACTCCATACTTCTTTCCTACACATACCATCATATCCTCTGTAGTGAACTGAATGTCCCACACACAAAGTACATACTACAATGGCTTGTTGAATGCACAGCAAAAAAAGGTGTCCCTGGAGCTTTCTTGAAATGTTGGTAACTATGTTCTATGTGACTCACAGAATATACACTATATTGTGCACTGCACACCCCTGCACTATGTACACTATATTGTACATTACACACTCCTGCACTATATAGTGCATTGCACACTCAACTATACACTATACTGTGCATTGCACACTACTACTATATATATATATATAATATTTTACATTACACACTCCTGCATTATATACACTATATTGTACATTACACACTCCTGCACTATATTGTACATTACACACTAATGCACTATATTGTACATTACACACTCCTTCACTATATACACTATATTGTACTTTACACACTCCTGCGCTATATACACTATATTGTACATTACACACCCCTGCACTATATACACTATATTGTACTTTACACACTCCTGCGCTATATACACTATATTGTACTTTACACACTCCTGCACTATATTGTACATTACACACTCCTGCACTATATACACTATATTGTACTTTACACACTCCTTCACTATGTACACTATATTGTCCATTACACACTCCTGCACTATATACTGTACACTATATTGTCCATTACAAACTCCTGCACTATATACACTATATTGTACATTACTCACTCCTGCACTATATACACTGTCTTGTACATTACACACTCCTGCACTATATACAATAGATTGTGCATTGCACACTCCTACACTATGTATACTATATTGTGCATTACATACTCCACTATATACAGTACACTATATTGTACATTACACACTCCTGCACTATGTACACTATATTTTACATTACACATTCCATGTCCCTTTAAGCCCCTCCAACTCTTACCGCATTGTGGACCCACCCACAGTTTGCCGTTGCACGCTACATGCACCACATTACTACTCAGCTTAAGCTACCCAGAGGAACCCTCTCTCTCTCTCCTGTCTTTTATCCCCCCCCTCTTTCTCTCACCTCCAATCTCTCACCCCCCCGCTCCCCTCTCTCTATTTAATTGAATTTGTTTTCATAATTAATATATTTTAATAAAACATTTATGTGTTCTTATTGTATTCATTCCCAGAAAAGGCCCATCAAAATCCTAATCCCGCAGGTTCAACCTTTTATTCCCTACAACACAACCTGGTTTCTGAGCTGCTGCAATATTAGAAGACTCTGCTTTTTAGCTTGTTGGGTACTTTTGATCTGATTAGCCATCAAAGGAGAAATTTTGCAGTGTGGAAAAAAATAAATGATTTACTAAAATCATTTTCTTGCTCCCCTCTACATAAAGCCAAGTAGCTAATGGAATTTTAAGCACATCAATCTTTGTAACTTTTTAATATTATATGAGATATACGGTAGGAATAGTAGAAATGTTCTCTTTAGCTGTTTGAGGCAGGAGAAAAAGTGTCTTTGTGTTACTTTCACACACAATTTTTTGTCTTCTAGGTAGAGAAAAACACAAAAAGTCTAACTAGTTCAACCAATAGAAAAATAATAAAAAAGAGAAAACCTCCATATACAACATCCTATACCCACAGTTGGTCTAGAGGAAGGCAAAATCCCCCTATAAAGCATGGCATAATTTGCTTCAGCAGGGGAAAGAATTTTTCCTGATCCTGCAAGAATAATTTGGATATTCCCTGGATAAACATTCTCTGGTGTTATTACCTAGAATTATTAATATCCAGAACCCTACTTTTACAGTCTCAAGTGAGAACGTCTCTGGTTGCAAGACAAAATATAGCTCACAAGCATTCTTAAAACCTGAATTTACATTGGTCTCCTGAAAAGAGTTCAGTGGTAGGGACTATGGACTCCAGAGGAGGCAACACAACAGTTGAGGTGGCAGCTGGATGCTCTTTAGGAGGGCAGACCATCATGGAGGAAGCAGCTAGCGGGTTGTGGGCAGATGAGTTGACAGAAGTAGAGAGAGTATGTAGGCAACTTTCTAACTGGGAGTAGACATCCTTCAGGTTCTTTACAGCTTGCTGACACAAGGTCTCCAGCAGTGAAGCACTTCTTTCGGACTCTGATATGATGGCTGGTTGATACTGTCACGCACCTGGTTGGAGACCAAAGTGATGAGAGGGCTTCCTTGAAATACCCCTGGAGATGATGACAGGAAGTAAAGGGCTCAAGGAAGTATGGGTCGCCTGCTGGAGACTACTTGTGGTGATCTCTGGCTGGATGGTTGCAGGCAGGTTTTGGTCAGATGACCGTCTTACTAAAAGTACCCATTCTGCAAGTTCTTCACAGCTGAGGGCTGCAATCTGCTGACACAGAGCCTCCAGTGTCGAAGCACCTCTTTCTGTCTCTGACATGATGGCTGGTTGATACTGTCACATACCTTGTTAGAGACCAAAGTGATGAGAGGGCTTCCCGTGCAGCTTTCTAGGAGCATCCCTGGAGGCAATGACAGGAAGTATAGGGCTCAAAGACTTATGGGTTGCCTGCTGGAGATTTCTCATGGTAATGTCTGGCTGGTGGGTTGCAGGAAATTCAGGCCATCAGCTGTAGTGCTGGAACCCATAGTGGTGCGGTAGGCTGCGGTCATGAGGAGTATAAGGTGAGCCGCATCCTGGACTCTCGTTGGTGCGCGGTCAGGTGCCATTCCTGGTCCATTGGCGCGGTTATGGTCCCGAGGAGCGTTCCTGGGTTCCTTCCGCGGATGTTCATGCACCTGCCCTCCTCCGCGCTTTTCATGCCCGCTTTCCTCAGAAGCCTTTTGTTGAGCCATGTGCTGGCATCCATCTTAGGTTTCTGCAAAGCATGGTGGGAGCCTTTTATGCTTTCAGGCCTCTGCGGTCCCTCCCCCAGAGGGGGTGCGGTTGATCATATTTAAACCTGTTGTCTGCACTTGCTCTTTGCATTCATGTCCTGTATGTTCCCTTGACGCAAGCTCTTGTTCTGTTCTCATTGCTCTCCTGGTAACCGACTCGGCTTGGACAAGACTATTCTCTGCTTTAACCCTTTACCTGACCTCCCGTTGCCGAACCCGGCCCGTGACCTGAGTATATTTTGCCTACCGTCCTGTACTGTCTGCTCCGTTGTTATCGACCCGGCCTGTCTGACCACGCTACACGTTTTCCCATCTAGCTATGGAATGGGCAGGCAGGCCTATGGTAAGGTCATGCAGTGACTGACGACAGCCACTACCCACAGACCAGAGTCCCTCAGGGCGCAGCGTCTAAGCCCCAGGCTGCCCTTCACCAGGGCCCCTGATGGTGGGGATGGACTTGACACAGCCTGAGACCAGGTCGCGGCCCCCGAGTAACCCCAGCTGCAGTAACGACTGCCACCAATGGTGTACAGCTGGTGGGAGCTAGATGGGAAAACGTGTAGCGTGGTCAGACAGGCCGGGTCTATAACAACGGAGCAGACAGTACAGGACGGTAGGCAAAGAATACTCAGGTCACGGGCCGGGTTCAGCAACGGGAGGTCAGGTAAAGGGTTAAAGCAGAGAATAGTCTTGTCCAAGCCGAGTCAGTTACCAGGAGAGCAATGAGAACAGAACAAGAGCTTGCTGCAAGGGAACATACAGGACACGAATGCAAAGAGCAAGTGCAGACAACAGGCTTAAATGTGATCAACCACACCCCTCTGGGGGAGGGACTGCAGAGGCCTCAAAGCATAAAAGGCTCCCACCATGCTTTGCAGAAACCGAAGATGGATACCAGCACATGGAGCAGCACAACCTTTGAGGAAAGGTAGGACCTTGACAAGTACCTGTGACACGCAGCAGGTTAGGTTGGCAGGGCAGAAATGAAGCTCTGAAATCAAGATCAGAGTCTGGGTCATACACAGAGGATCAGGCAGATAGAGAGGCAGGAGAGTAGTTAAGACAGAGTCAAGGTCATGCACAAGAGCCAGATGTGTTTCAAGAGAGTGGTCAAGAAAGCAGACCAGTGTCATACATGGATGGTCAGAAGAGGCATAGAATGTAAGACAGAGCCAAGGACAGAAGCAGGAATCAGGCAGATGGCAGATCCAGCAGCAAGCCAGGTTGGTAATGGGAAGTCCAAGGAAACACAGGAACAAGAGCACTGGGGATCGGAAGATAAACCATCAATCTCTGAGTGTTGCTTTCCTCCTTTTAAAAGGTGTTTGGCACCAGTCTTGGATGGGGCATTCACAAGTGTGTATCCCTGTGTTGGCACTTGTGGGCACATTCCTAATTCATCTGTGCGCATTCCTGTGCAGATGAGAGCAGCCATGCAGGGTACTGGCAGTGGTGCCAGGTCTTTGCTGCGGCGCCCACACGCCTTTCATCCGAGCAGTGCCCTGACAATTTCATACTCCTGCATACTGCACTCTAAGTACATTACTTCTGAAGTTCTTCTGTAAGGTAGGTTGTATGTAGAAAAGCATGTGCTTAAGCTTACAAGTGTCTTTTAGGATTCATTCACACTAGCAGTTGGGGGAAGGTTTTAAATCCCTGTGGTTGAGCTGCTCTTTTAGCCCCCAACCATTCCCCCTTTAAGCTGCAGAGGAAGTGGCCTGGGGTGCATACATGCTGCCACCGCAATACTTTGCTTAGTGGCAGGAATTATACCCCCTTTTGGCGGATGTTACTGCTTGTTCCATGCAATGCAAACAGTTGAGGCACATTGTTGAGGTGCATTGTTCAAGGGGTTAAAGCAGTCTGTGAGGAGACAATACCACATCTTCTCACCACCTTACAAAGTGTGAACAAGCCCTTGTACTCTTTCTTGTGACACAGTCATTAAACCATATTTTTTGGGTAAATGGACTGTGGAATATGTGCGCTGAGTATAGGGAGAATAGACTTGACTTTTATTTAACTATGCCCTTTAAGCCCCTTCCACTGATAACACAATTTTGCCATACTCACATTTCTTCACAGCTTGCCACTTTGTTTCTTCATACTAGTTTTTGAGGTTTGTAGAGAAAAATGATCGGCTTGGGTGCCAACTAAACCAACACCATGCAATTAATTTTTGAATATATTACATAGTCTACTTTTTGTAGTTGGGGGCAGAACTGAAACTCTGAAGTCAGGATCAGGGCAGTGAATGTGATGTCCTTCAAACATTTTGGAATAAAATATTGAGCCAGAAAATGATCTTATTCTGCAAAAATACCATGGTCATATATAAAATTCCCATTATATTTAAGGAAGCAGTCCTTGTAACTATATCAAAAGCCATAAAACATGCACCAGGAAGATTCACCTGCAGAGATTGTTTGGTAAATGTCACATTTTATTTCTGCAGAAATATGTTCTTTGCAGTGATGTACTTTGAGATGAACATGTTGCAGTTGCATAATTAAACATCTCGTAAAGTCCATCAAGTTCAACCAATTGTAGCACCCCTCTAGATAGTCAGGGGCAGTTAGTTTCTGATTCTTAGATAGAGAGGCTGAGCAGCAGCCTGGGGAATAATTAGCAGGGTCATATTTGGATCAGGGCTGAGAGGCTCTGCAGATTAGTTCCTTGATACCTCTCCCTGCTCTAGAATCTTGAAGAAGATTCTAGAAGCAATGAGGAGAGGCTAATCTGCATACTTAGGATATCCTGACCAATCTCCAGGCAGGAGGCTTGACATGGGGTCAGGACAGTCCTTAAGTGTGACTGAGCCTGCTCAGCAGCAGGAGAGTTCAGGTGGAAGATGTAGAGAAAACTGAGATGCAGGAGCCTGGGAGGGGGCCCAGTGGGAATGGACATACCTACAGGTTGGGTCTTGGAGAGGAGGATCCCTCAGCCTCACCGGCCCCTGGAGAGAGGGCTACTTGTGGACCCAGGAAAGAAGCCATCCCAGCAGAAGGCCTGAAGGCAGCCATGTACCTAAACCAGCTCACAGGACTGAGACTGAGTAAGTAATCCTCTATCTCCTGGGCCAGCTAAGGGGAAAAGAGCATTCTGGTGGGAAACCTGACTAGCTCCTTACCTGAGACTGTTCAGCCTAAAGTGGCAGGCATTGGATCCCCTTGCCCAGGGATTCCTCCAGACAGCTGGGTAAAAATGATAATTTATTTGGGGTCTGAGGTGGTACACCAGGAGAGGCTGGAGAGCTCTCCCAGAAGACTTGTGTATAGTTGCCAGGAAGTTGTCCTCAGTTTACTGTTCCTTATGCATCCCTCCACCCCATCCACATTTATTACCCTAATAAAATAAAAAAAAAAACAAGTTCAAGGACTGTTTACTGTCTTTGGAATGCAAGTCTGGGGAAAATTCATGTTGCCTGACTGTGCAGGACTATAGGGGGACCCGAAACTTCAGCAACACCTAAGAGGGTAGTGCTACACAATAAAAAGAAAAATAAATGAATATATAAAAAAATACACATGACTCTAATCCCACAGCTGATCCAAAGGAAAGCAAAAAACCCTTCTAAATAGTCCACTTTGCTTCGACAGGAAAAAATTCCTTTCAATTCCTTTTCCTAAAGCAAGTGATTATTTTTTGTAATGCAAATTTTTTAATATATAGGTATTAATGATAATATATCACTATTTAAAAATGAACAATACTTGCATATAATAATAAACATTAATATTAACAACTTGTAAAAATAGTTCCACAGTAAGATTACAAGTTACATCAATGGCAGCTGTTACACAAATCCTCACCATTATCTTGGTGGACTCAGGTGCCCAGTTATCTGATAAGCTCAGGCTTCAGTTATTGTTACTCAAGATTTCTGAGTTGTTCCACTTTTTGTCTTCATGGATAAAATCTTTGTTTTTTTTAGCTCACGAAATATGGTTTTTTTTGGTAAGTTCATAGTCTCTTCTATATTATAAGGAGCACACTAATATATTCTACAGTTTATAGCAAACTTCAGCATAAATAAGTTATTATAATGTTTTAAATAAATGAATCACATTATTATATTGGTATTATAAAGCTGTTATGTTGTGTTACATGGGGGATGATTAGCTACATAGTTGCATGGTTAGTCTGGCTGAAAAAAAGACAAAAGTCCATCCAGTTCAACCATTAAAAAAGAGTTATAATCCTACACCCACAGTTAATCTAGAGGAAGGGCAAAAAAAACCCAGCAAAGCACAATCCAATTTGCTCCTGCTGGGAAAAAAATTCCTTCCTGATCCCCCGTGAGGAAATCGGATATTCCCTGGATCAACTTTACCTATAAATGTTAGTATCCAGTTATATTCTGTGTATCTAAGGAATCTAGGACTTTTTTGAAGCAATCCACTGAGCTGGCCAGAACCAACTATTGATGGAGTCTATTCCACATTTTCACAGCTCTCACTGCGAAGAAACCTTTCCATGTTTGGAGATTAAATTTCTTTTCCTCCAGACGAAAGAGTGCCCCCTTGTCCTCTGTGATGACCTCAGTGTGAATAACTCTACACCGTGTCCACTATATGAACCAATCATGTATTTATACATGTTAATAATATCCCCCCTTTGTATTATACATGGAGATCATATCCCCCTTATGTATTATACATGGAGATCATATCCCCCCCTTATGTATTATACATGGAGATCATATCCCCCCCTTATGTATTATACATGGAGATCATATCCCCCCCCCTTATGTATTATACATGGCGATCATATCCCCCCCTTATGTATTATACATGGCGATCATATCCCCCCCTTATGTATTATACATGGAGATCATATCCCCCCTTATGTATTATACATGGAGATCATGTCCCCCCTTATGTATTATACATGGTGATCATACCCCCCCTTATGTACTATACATGGGGATCATATCCCCCCTTATGTATTAAACATGGAGATCATATCCCCCTTATGTATTTATACATGGAGATCATATCCCCTTATGTATTTATACATGGAGATCATATCCCTCCTTATGTATTATACATGGTGATCATATCCCCCTTATGTATTTATATATGGAGATCATATCCCCCTTATATTATACATGGAGATCATATCCCCCTTATGTATTTATACATGGAGATCATATCCCCCCTTATGTATTATACATGGAGATCATATCCCCCCCTTATGTATTATACATGGAGATCATATCCCCCCTTATGTATTATACATGGTGATCATATCCCCCTTATGTATTTATATATGTAGATCATATCCCCCTTATGTATTATACATGGAGATCATATCCCCCTTATGTATTATACATGGAGATCATATCCCCCCTTATGTATTATACATGGAGATCATATCCCCTCTTATGTATTATACATGTTGATCATATCCCCCCTTAATCTCCTCTTCTCCAGAGAATAAATTCAGTTTCTCTAACCTTTCCTCATAGCTGATCTCCTCAATGCCTTGTAGTGGTAGATGCTTTACAAATAAGTCCACACTAGTTAGAAAAAACTCTTTTTCAGGGCTTGGTAGCCCACTTTTATTAGAAGGCAAGAAAACAAAAACACAAAAAGTCCAAAAAAAGCTTTCCCACACAGGTCCTTCACCAGTGGTAAATACTAGAGATGAGCGAAGTATTCAAAAATTCGATTCGGCTGATTCGGCGAATTCGAGGAATAAATTTGATTCGATGCGAATATATTCGCTGCGAATTTAACTATAAAAGGGTGTTTCTAGGCTTCAGAGAGCCTTTATATTAGTGCAGAACACTGTACCTTTAATTTAAATGCCCTTGGAGTCTGCTGGGGAAGAGAAATAATACTGTCAGTCAGTATGACATGCAGATGAGTGCCGTCGATCTTAGAATCACCGCGCACACTTCACTCATTTGGGCAGTCACGGGGCCAAAACCAGAGTGTGGAGCCACAGTGTGGCGGTGGATGGTAATCCGCAGCAGCAATGGGAGGCCATACAGCACCCTATGACAAAAATGGAACACACCAGCAGTGTGAGGAGACCTGAAAGTGGCACATGGCAGAGGTGGCGATGGAGACAGCAGCAATGGGAGGCCGTACAGGTACCCATGAGACACTCTGGACCTGGCAGCAGCATGAGGAGGCGGTACAGGGGCCCATGGCAGATTACGGGCCTGGCAGCAGCAATGGGAGGCCCGTAATCTGCCAGCACCCTATGACAAAATGGAACCCACCAGCAGTGTGAGGAGACCTGAAAGTGGCACATGGCAGAGTGTGGCGATGGAGACAGCAGCAATGGGAGGCCGTACAGGGACCCATGAGACACTCTGGACCTGGCAGCAGCATGAGGAGGCGGTACGGGGGCCATGGCAGATTACGGGCCTGGCAGCAGCAATGGGAGGCCTGTAATCTGCAGCACCCTATGACAAAATGGAACCCACCAGCAGTGTGAGGAGACCTGAAAGTGGCACATGGCAGAGTGTGGCGATGGAGACAGCAGCAATGGAGCCCGTACAGGGACCCATGAGACACTCTGGACCTGGCAGCAGCATGAAGAGGAGGTAGGGCGGTACGGGGGCCCATGGCAGATTACGGGCCTGGCAGCAGCAATGGGAGGCGCGTAATCTGCCAGCACCCTATGACAAAATGGAACCCACCAGCAGTGTGAGGAGAACCTGAAAGTGGCACATGTTTGGGGGCATTGATTTCATGGCGGATTTAGTCAGTTGTGTCAGGAACTGGTGGTTTGAAATCCAGACTAATCCACGCCTGATTCATTTTCACAAACGTGAGTCTCTCCACACTTTGGGTGGACAGTCGTGTCCTCCGCGGAGAGTTACAATACCTCCTGCCGCACTAAACACGCGCTCCGATGCCACGCTACTGGGAAATGACAGCCTTTCAAGGGCAGAAATTCAGCTAGTTGGGGCCAAAAGGTCAAGTTTCGTTGCCCAGTAGTCAAGGGATTGTCTACCTCGGTTGGCCAGGGTGCTGTCCCAAGTAGGCCCAAGCCTGTTGTTTGAGGTCCTGCTCCAGGACCAACCTGATGCTGCTGCTGCTGCTGCTGCGTTTTGTATTTCCCTTCACCTGGTGAAGAAAGCTACTTCATCATCGACTGCACGATGAGAGGCCAGCCGCCTGCTGGTCTGGACGCTGCAACTGCTTCCTACACACCCCACCACATCCCCTGCTTGCCCATGGCAAGCGGTACGCGAGCGCACAGGGCCCACAGTGTCTGAGGATGGACGTTGGCGCAGAAAGGCAGAGACCATACTGACTACATAGTGGTTTTTAGAGTACTTTATTTTGGCCTCCCTCTCAGCAGGTGTGAAAAAGGCCACATTTTTGTATAATGGTAGCGAGGGTCCACAAGGTGGAAGCCAAAAGTCATCCCTCGTCTGATGGTTTTTATTCGGGACGTCGCTACGCAAGCAAGCACGAGCATAGCTATGGGCCATTTTGTGCCACGGAATGCGAGGGAACTCCTGCCTCCATCTCCACAGCATACTGCCGACGGTGCGTTCCCGGGTCCCCTGGGCTTTCCCCCTCCTCCCCCTCTACCAGTTTCTCCTGCTCCTCCACTCCGTTTCCCCCTGGTGGAAAAAAACCCCCCATTTCACTCAAAAATTCCTGAGCAACCAAAAGTCCTCCTTACCTCCTCCTCTTCTTTTCCGGGCCCGCCCCCACAGGGGGTCATGTGGCGTTGAGTCTGTTGGGGCCACGTTTTACCGCACCCTGACCAAGGGCCTTGTTAAAAGCCCTTTTTTTCCAGGACGTGCAAAGAGGAAAGACGTGTTCATTTCCCTAGTCCTGCCGATCACAAAAGGTGGCTCCTCAAAGGGCCCCGGCAAGCGGCAGGTGCAAGATGAGCTGCCAATGGCCCGAATCTTTTGTTTCACAGGGGGGGTTCCTTTATCCGCTTTGTAACTCAGGAAAACTGTGATGGCCTTTCGCTGGGTTGTTTAAAAGGGGGGTTTTAAAAAAAAGTAGGGTTGAATTTTCCCCCTTTTTTTTGCAAC